ACATCATATGAATTCATAAAAATTGATAACCATCTGATGAGGAAAAATAAGCATTCTTAGTATGTAAGTGGGCAAACCTGCAAAATCAGCAAGGGGTCAAATACTTATTTCCCCCACTGTATGTCATAATCACATATGTCATCTTTTGAATGCACAATTCTAAGTAATTGAGTTTGATATTTTGTATTAATATCTGTATTAATATTTTTAATCTATTTGACATACTCTTAACATACTCTCCAAAGCTTTTGTAATGATGAAGGCCAAAGAAAAAGCTACACATCACACAGTAAAACAAAGATTTTTGAGCAGCAGCTGGCAATTTTGTCACCTTTTTGGCCACAGAGCATCAGTCTTGATGCGGTTGTTTTTTTTGGCAGCAGTTTTTTACTCCAGATGCCCTTCCTGAGGCAAACCCTTGCGTTTAGCTAGGCGTGGGACTGGAACAAACAGGACAATGTCCTGGGGCAGGCGCTGGAAAAAAAAAATATGATTGAAACTTCAGGATTTAAATAACAATGTTGAAATTTTTGTTCTCAGTATTACTTAAATTAATGAATGCAATACTAAGATCAGATTAATTGAAAGCATTCAAATAATGGTGGGTACATTTTAAAAGTGGATTTATATTCTTCATACTTTTTAGTAGATTATATGATAATTTTAATACATTTAAGTCTCTTGGATACATCCTGATTGGTAGACAACTGCTCTTCCTCCAGAGTTACAAACGCTCAAATTTGTGATCCTTACTTTATTCGAACATGATACAATATAAAAATAAAATAGTGCACAGTAACAAGAAGTGCATCAGAAAGAAGAGAAAATACAGAAATGTGATTAATAAATGATTTACAGTATTTACAGAACCTGACAATGACGTTTTGTCAAGATCGATTTTCCAAACCTCAATTCACCCCGTTTCTTATCCACAGAAAATATGTTTCTTATCCTATCCCCAATTTCTATGGGCATAATTCCTGATCTTAGAAAAATGTTGCAGGAAAAACATCTTCACAGGCTTGAAGAGAATGAAAATGCTTTGCAGTTTTTGGAATTTTTGCGTGGTTAATGGGGATTGGTAGAACAATTTCACAGGCAAGTAAAGGAAATAGATTCACCCTTATACGATAAAGTATTTTGTAAAGTAGAGCTCAAACGGATTTTGATTTAATCAAAGACCCAAATGCTAGACTTTAGACTACAACCTGAATACTAGCGTAGTTTATAGAGGCATTCACAGTGTACGTTGCACTAAGATATTTTTTAGGTACACACACATAAAAAAGCAAAACTAAAAAGAAAAGGAAAGAAAAGAAATCCCCGGCACTAAATTTCAGTAAGTTTCAGTGTACTCGTGATCAGTTTGTGGTTTTCTTTTGAGTCCATTTACCCTCTGGATCTTGCCAGTCAAATAAAATAATGTAACTCTTAACCATTTCTAAAGTATTAAATCATCTAAGAAATTTCCTCGACCCCAGGAATAAGCAGTATAGACAACAGATGGATGGGTGGATTCTATTTTAACCTGAGATATGCTCTCGTAAAAAGTTCGAGAAACATTAATTCGGGAAAAAAACGCCTGGTGCTTATTCGTCTATATTTCATCCTCAACAGCATTTCGCTGGTATTTACACAAGCAGCAGATTTCTGACCTGCGCATGCCCCATTAGAGGCAGACACACAACGTTAAGTCAACAAAGAATGTGTGTGTCCTGCAAGTGAGCGTAGCTGGGGAATCAGCCCATGTGTTTTCCCTAAAGCTAAAAGTCCCGTCTTACAATAAGTGTTTTGAAATCAGTCCGCTGTCTTTTTAGGCCTTGTGATGTTAATAATGACATCGCAACTGTAGGAAAACTGAATGATTCAATGACAAAATAATGTAGCCCAGTATTGGCTAAATCGTTCAGCAGTGGTGTATAAAAACGATGTAAAGACTTATTAAAGTACATATTAAATGGGTGAACATATCCAAAAGTGACAGGTTTCCAGTTATATTATTGGAAGGACAAAGTTATAAAGTTGATAAGACTAATTGACTGTATCCAAAGGGGTCTCAGTTCAGTTTCTTTTTTGGAATAATCCAAAACAGCCGGAGAAACAATCTAAAGATTGTGATGCCACTCAGTTGTAACTTCTACAATTTATCGTTACGTTTCTTATTTTCTGGTGTGTCTTCAAAAAGAAAAAAGCTATGGAATTATAACTTCGTCAACTGAACGGCTGCTTTGCACATTTAGATTTTCAATTGTTTTTTTTTTAACTCTTGAGTAAAGCTATTCATCAATGAGCACATACAAAGATTTAACTGTATCTTCTCGGTGCGACTTGTTCTCAGGTGGTTCCCCGGGTCCATACAAAGCAACACAACAAAGTATGATAATATGTGTACGGTCATGTGAAGAGGAAAGGGAACTGTATGACTCTACAACAGAATATTGTCGATGGTTTGGTGCTGTGTTAAATCACCCAGTTTAAGCCTTAGTATTTGGACTGACGACTTGACATTTATCTCCTCAATACTTTAATTTCATTCTGTCATATTGTGCCGATATCATAAACGTTAATAGCAGCTTCTAAAGGCTGGGTCCTCTCTTTTTTTTCTTAGTCTTATTCATGTATCCATCCATTGTCTATACTGCTTATTACAGTAGGGTTGTGGGGGGGCGGGGGCCTATCCCAGCTCCCAACTGACAACAGGCTCTTGTTCATTTTATTAATTTCATACCAAATCATAACAAACATCATCTCTGGGCACTTCAAAACTTCAAAGATACAATCCTAATTCAAACCAATTAGAATGCAAATCACTGTAAAACAATCAGAATCGAGTTAAGTCAAATTAATTAAATTCCAAACTAGTCAGATTCATAAATAGTCCATTTACAAATCAAAGCTAAGATAAAAGTTGACTGCACTGAATTTTCGATTCAATCTGAACGATAATAGTGGAAAGTATTCCATAATTTTGTCCTTCCACTAGAATTTATTGAAAGGAATGACTCAACAAAGTAATTTAAGTATACCTTTTTCAGTGTTTGCATGTGGCAGTGAAGAAATCTGGTTAATCTGGTTTAATCTGGATATAGTATTCTCTGATGTAGTATAAATACATTTATTGTCAGATTAACAGCATTTGGCTACTACTACCCACTGAATAAAAGCATGAAAATGAAGCTTTTTATGCTGTGTATTAATTTTATGTCATTCTAGTCTAGCTTTATATGGGAAATACAAAATATATTACTAATCTCACCCAAAATGCATATTTTATGTCTTCATAAGAGTAACCCCTATGCATGTTTGTACAGTAGAAAAGAATGTAGTGATATCAACAAGTTTTATACTGTTATCTTTTTTGTGTATAACATTAAAGAATCAAAAAGAGACTTTATGAAATAACGTTATGAATATTCTTTATTATGAGATTATTATCAAGCTAATTAGTATGTCCAAAACAAGTTGGTTTGAAATGGAGTCAAATATTTTTTATGACTTGACTTTAATTGTGGCAAAATCAACTCTTTCTGTCAAGTTACAACTATTCTTCAGGAAACTATAATGTGGGCATGCGCAAAGCTTGACTAATATGTAAGAAGCTAAGTCTGACCACTTACCATTTTGTTCATCCTTTTTCCATCAGCCATGAATATTTCAAGTCACATGGTCACCACCCGAATAACAAAAATATGTATATTTGCTTTAAATAGCTATTTTGGCAATTTCGACAAGAACTGTGGAGCTTTTTAACACTTAAAGCCAAAGACAACAGAAGCAATAGGGCAAACAAAACACTTTGCTGGTTTGTACAGATGGAGGGAATAGCCGTGAAGTGCATGTCAGTAAACATGGTTTCCTCTGAAAATGTGTGCAATCATGTGTGAATGGATGTGTGTGTTTGTGTACACATTTCCTGCTGGGTTTTCAGTTGACTATTTGGCAGCTAGGTTTTTCCCCCAATCTCTTGACAAACAGTATGCTGCTCCTGGAATTGTCACAAAAGGGTGGTATTTTTTTATCCTTTAAATCTTAATTATTTTAGAAAAACAAAGGTCCTCAATATTCAGATATTCAAAACAGGGACAGGAACATTGAGCAATTTTTGGCTAATTATCTTTATCTGAGAGACTCTGTGCCAGAAGGATGTAAAAACCTGTACCTGCTATTGATATTGCTACAGTTTTTATTTTGGCTACTTCTTCCTCTTTTGTGTAATAGTACCTTCATTAAATTCCATGTCAGACAACTGGACAAAAACTGGAGTATGATCAAACCACCTTGTTTTAACCGGAGTGTGAACCAAATTTTTCTTGGATTTTGTCTTGGACTTTGAATGTTGCCTACACAACCTGGGACACAACATTAGAAGTTGCTGCATCTAAATATTCGAAAACTCTGCTAAGAACTCTGAGTAAATCCCCCTAAAAAAAAACAGGTATTATTAAAGAAAAGTTATCTACTTATTTCATGGTATTCATTCTACCTGGAAGAGTCAAAGGGAGCTTGAGCATATCGGACATTAGTCAAGAGGCAGGGTAAACCAATGACAGGTTTCGTCAGTCCATCAAAGAGCCACAAATAAACGAACAGCCACACAAACTCGTATTCTTCGATTAGAGTCTTCAGTTGACCTAACATGCATGTTTGGATGTTGGGAGGATGCCAAAGTACCCGGAGGGAGTCCACAGAGACATTGGTCAACATGCAAATCCCACACAGAATGGCCCATGGTACCCCAGGGATTTGAACTGGGAACCCTTTCATTATATATCTGTTATAATTCTGACCTCGGCTGTGGGCCGAGATTTAAATTTTGCTATGGAGACGATACAGAAAATGCTATATCTCTAAACCCCCACAAACACTTTACTCTTGTATTTTTCTATTAATCTTTGATTTAATCGTCTATCTTTTTCATCCCCCCTTATTTTGTTCTATTTCATCCCCCTTTTGTTTTTACCTCCTCATCTTTTTCTTTGAATTTTTTTTAACACTCTTTCCAGTGACAGGGAAGCCATTTTTTGTTGTATCTAGTTTTTCTCACCGGTGGTTGTTCGGCTGGGAGGGCTGTCGATTCTACGGCTGGGCAGGCTTCTTCTTTGGCTGCGGTAGCCTCACCACAATGACAGTGGTCAGCCTTGACCGGTACCTCAAGATCTGCCACCTTCGATATGGTGAGTCAGAATCACCACGTGCATATTTTATATTAAAACTCATGCGAGCTATTTATTTAAATTCATGGCATTTGGGCGTTTGGAGTGTTTTTCATTGTGATGTTAATGTCAATTTCTTATCTTTTCTCTTTTCTCATTATTATGTCTGGAAAAGTATATTAATTTTTGTGTGACTATAGCATAAGAAAATTAAGTCTCTATTACTCTTAACTGAATTAATTAGCTGGAGTGCAGCAACATGGCGTTAACTAAACAAAATCTGGAGAAAGGTTAATTGCCTTTACCTTATCTATATTGTTATCATCACTAGCTTTTTAATATTAAATACATCATATATATCGAATGCAGACATGTTTAGAAACTAATTTGATTCAAATGAATTTAAAAGAAAAATGCTCAAAACAGGGATACAGATACGTCCATTTTATCTGTTGTTATTAATTCATGTCAAGCTAAAGAGGACTGTAGTTTGAGAATTTGGATAGTTTTTGAAAAAGTAGTTTTGAAATGTATTTTTATTTTAAAGTTAATTAATCCATTATGTCACTTTTTCTCATTTGTAGGCCCTTGGTTGAAACGGCACCACACTTTCATATGCCTGGCCTTTGTTTGGGTATATGCAGCCTTCTGGGCTACAATGCCACTGGTTGGTTGGGGAAACTATGCTCCTGAACCTTTTGGGACCTCGTGCACTCTGGACTGGTGGCTTGCACAGGCCACTGTGTCAGGCCAGACCTTTGTAATGGCCATCCTCTTCTTTTGTCTCGTACTTCCCGCTGGCATCATTTTCTTCTCCTACGTCATGATCATCTTCAAAGTCAAGTCCTCCTCTAAGGAGATTTCACACTACGATGCCCGCATAAGAAACAATCACAACCTTGAGATGAAACTTACAAAGGTAAGAAAACAGACAATTAGAGGTGAAGTGAAATTGCTCACCAAATTAATAACCCTGTCCCTAAGAAGCTAAAGAAGCTGAGTAATGTTTTTTTTTTTATATCTTCCAGGTGGCAATGCTGATATGTGCAGGCTTCTTGATAGCCTGGATTCCTTATGCAGTGGTTTCAGTGGTGTCCGCGTTTGGAGAGCCGGACTCTATCCCCATCCCTGTGTCTGTCATTCCTACTTTGCTGGCCAAGTCATCAGCAATGTACAACCCCATCATCTATCAGCTAGTGGATCTTAAAAACTCGTGCTCGTCCTGCTGTCGCAGAGTCATGAAGAAACAAAAGCATTTTAGAAAGTCCAGGTGAGACCATACTTTGGAAGTATTGCATTGACTGACAAATTTTGAGGAAATATCACCCACGGTTTGCATGTTTAACACATAGAACAAAAGGGCATGTGTGAATACATTAGAGAATTTTTCTAATACCAATGTCCACCCAATGAGAGTGGAATATTTCTGTAACAGTAAGGTTTGTAGCATTATTTGTAGCTAATAAGATATGAGCAGGTTATCAACTAATCAGAACCAGAAATCAGTATCAGAAATGGCTTTTTTGGCCAAATGCAAAACATGTACAGGAATTTAAACTTGTATCTCAGCGCCACAGAATAATTAAAATAACTAATTATAATAATAACTAAAATGGTATATTGATATCCATCCGTCCATCCATTTTCCGCCGCTTATCCGGGGTCGGGTCGTGGGGGCAGGTGAACCCAGACTTCCCTCTTCCCGGCCACTTCTGCCAGCTCGTCTGGGGGGATCCCGAGGCGTTCCCAGGCCAGCCGAGACACATAGTCCCCGCAGCATGTCCTGGGTCTTCCTCTGGGCCTTCTCCCGGTGGGACGAGCCCGGAACACCTCACCAGGGAGGCGACCAGGAGGCATCTTAATTAGATGCCCGAGCCACCTCATCTGGCTCCTCTCCACGTGGAGGAGCAGCGGCTCTACTCTGATGGCCGAGCTCACCCTATCTCTAAGGGAGAGCCCAGCCACCCTGCGGAGGAAACTCATTTTCGTGGCCATAGATGAGGGTGGGAACGTAGATCGACTGATGAATCGTGAGCTTAGCCTTTAAGCTCAGCTCTCTCTTCATCACGACGGACTTGTACAGCGCCTGCATTACTGCAAACGCCGCATCGATCCGCACCCCCCACAGGATACCATGAGGGACACGGTCCAACGCCTTCTCCAAGTCCACAAAACACATGTGGACTGGTTGAGCGAACTCCCATGCACCCTCTAGGACCCCGCTGAGGGTATAGAGCAGGTCCGGCGTTCCAAGGCCAGGGCGAAAACCACACTGTTCCTCCTCAATCCGAGATTCAACTATCCGACGGACCCTCATCTCCAGGACCGCTGAATAGACCTTCCCAGGGAGGCTTAAGAGTGTGATCCCCCTGTAGTTGGAACACACCCTGTGGTCCCCCTTTTTGAATAGGGGGACCACCACCCCAGTCTGCCAATCCAGCGGAACTGCCCCTGATGTCCACGCGATGTTTGCAGAGTCGCGTTAGCCAACGCAGCCCCAAAACATCCTTGAGGAACTCCGGCCGGATCTCATCCACCCCCGGAGCCTTGCCACCGCGTAGCTTTTTGACTACATCGATGACTTCAGCCCCAGAGATTGGAGAGCCCAACTCCAAACCCTCATGCTCTGCCCCTCCAATGGAGGACGCGCCAGTGGGATTGAGGAGGTCCTCGAAGTACTCCGCCCACCGACCCACAACGTCACGAGTTGAGGTCAACAGCACCCCATCCCCACATTAAAAAGTGTTGGTGGGGCACTGCTTCCCCCCCGAGACGCCGGATGGTGGACAAGAATCACCTTGAAGCCGTACGGAAGTCTTATTCCATGGCCTCCCCAAACTCCTCCCATGCCTGAGTTTTTGCCTCGGCGACCACCCGAGCCGCATGCCGCTTGGATACCGCCATCGGCTGCCTCCGGAGTCCCACAGGCCAAAAAGGCCCGATAGGACTCTTTCTTTAGCCTGACGGCATCCCTCACCACCAGGGTCCACCAGCAGGTTCGAGGGTTGCCGCCACGAAAGGCACCGACAGCCCTGTGACCTCAGCTCCGGGAAGCCGCGTCAACAATGGAGGCACGGAACATGGCCCACTCGGACTCAATGTCCCCCGTCTCCCCCGGAACGTGCTCGAAGCTTTCCCAGAGGTGGAAGTTAAAGCTCCGCCTAACAGGGGTGCTCCCAGCAGACCCTCACAATGCGTCTGGGCCTCCCGGGTCTCACCGGCATCCTCCCCCACCATCGGAGCCAACTCACCAACGGGTAGTGGTCAGTGGAAAGTTCCGCCCCCCTCTTGACCCGAGTGTCCAAGACATGAGGTCAGCTGAAACGACAACAAAGTCGATCATTGAACCAGGAGCACATATGGACACTCTTATGCTTGAACATGGTGTTCGTTATGGACAATCAGAGCCGACCACAGAAGTCCAACAACAAAACACCACTCGGGCTCAAGCTAGGGGGGCCATTCCTCCCAACCACGCCCCTCCAGGTCTCACTGTCATTGCCCACGTGAGCGTTGAAGTCCCCCAGCAGAACAAGGGAGTCCCCAGGGGGGGCACCCTCCAGCACCCCCTCTAAGGACTCCAAAAAGGGTGGGTACTCTGCACTGCTGGCGCGTAGGCACAAACAACAGTCAGCACCCATCCCCTCAGCCGGAGGCGAAGGGATGCTACCCTCTCGTTCACCGGGGTAAACCCCAACGTACAGGTACCGAGATGGGGGGCAACAAGTATGCCCACTCTCAGCTGCAAACTCTCACCGGGGGCAACTCCAGAGTAGCAGAGCGTCCGTCCCCTCTCGAGAAGGCTGGTTCCAGAGCCAGAGCTGTGCGTTGAGGTGAGACCAACTAAGTCCAGCCGGAATCTCTGTGCCTTTGTACCCCAACTCAGGCTCCTTCCCTGCCAGAGAGGCGACATTCCAAGTCCCTAGAGCCAGCTTCTGCAGCCGAGGATCAGTTCGCCAAGATCCCCGACTCCGGTCGCCACCCGAAAAACCGCGCACCACTTTGGCCCCTCCCATGGGCGTTGAGCCGGGCCCCATGGGTTAAAGCCTGGCCAGCAGGCGCTCACTTACGTACCCCACCTCTGGGCCTGGCTCCAGGTCGGGGCACCGGTGACACGCGTCCGGGGCGAGGGAACTCTGGTTCCATTTATGTTTTTCTTCATAAGGGGTCGTTTGGGCAGCACTTCGTCTGATCCCTCACCCAGGACCTGTTTGCCTTCAGTACTTGGTGGTTTTGGTCCTGATGGACCTGAACCTGTGACCTGATGGGAGGGGTGTGAGCCAGATGATAAACAGAATGTTAGTGGAACAAGCCGGATTAATGGTTTTATTGAACTCACAACAAATAAGACTCAAGGGAATTTATCCTTACAAGCAAGTCTGAATTGCTTTTATCTATTCAGCTGAGTACATATAGATATAAACTGGAATAGTCTGCTGTTTACCTTGTGAGAATGAATGATTCCTTTGTCAAAAGTCTGTTTGTTTTATGTCAGATGTACAAACAAAGAAGTAAAATACACATAAAAAATAGACGTAAAGATTGTTCCTCATTTGAATGTCTTATACAGATTTATAAACCAAACATTAAATAGTTATATGCATTTTATTTTTTTGTTCACTCGCTCAATTAAGTTTGTTAAAGGATCTTTTGTGTTCTCATGGTGCTTCCTCTTTTTTCCACATTACTATAGGTTCTACACCATCTCTGGCTCAATAAAGGATACAGCACCAGCCAAAGAAGCTCACATTGAGATGTGAGACAGACATTTGAGACTTCGACTGCAACTGTGTTACTTACCTCCTCTAATTTTGAAGATTTTGCCTTGTTCTCTGCCCTTTTTGGCCTGCACTTAACCAGTCACATGCTGCCAACCCCGTCAGCTGCCCACGGTTGTTGAGAATTCCTGAATCTTGCAGTTCGAAGTTTCCCCAACTTTGGATATCCATGCATTTCCTGCAACTTCCTCTGTAGTAATTGATGGAAAAATGATTTGACCCTTGAGGTTTATTTTGACCTGTGCAATTGTGTTGTCTGTATATTGGTTATAACTGCAGATGGTGTGTAATGGCTGAGAAAAATGCGAGAATTTATTTTGGAATGGCTGTCTGGCACTGGCGTAAGAAAGAGGTTTACATTTTATCGGTAAGTTGATTTAAAAACTGAGGAGCTTTGCAGCCAAATCACGTTACATTTTGACCTATTTTTGTAATGTAATTTTTGCAAAAATGTAAAAAATGCACAAAAAAGTTAAAAGTTGAATATATTTTCAGTAGGAGTTCTTTAGCTAAGCTGATACGAATAGAAGAAAACATACACACACAAATCTGTCACTCAGGTGTGGATGTAACCGACAAAGTTGTATTTTTGCTGTTTGTGTAGCGTATTGTCTTTTGTACTTTAACATTTGTAGCTAGTATAGAGTAATATGTATCAATATCTAAAAGCACTGGATCACATTAGCTTATCTTCTCATCATGGATAATCGTAGAAAGGGTGATATTAAACTGTTTCAGTTGGTGAAAATGAGGCTATGGCCTTTCAGGAAACCATGCTGAATTCATTAAAAGACAATGATGTTAAATATTTCAAGGTATAGCACTGGTCAAGAAATCAAACTAACAGATGTGTGCACTTTACTTTAAAAACATATTCAGAAATGTTCACAATCATGCACTGATTACAATGTTTATGTGAATAGTTGTTGCAGAGAGGTGAACAATATTGATTTGAAGAAATCATATCCTACAATATTTTCTGCATGCTGTTGTGGAAATTGGCACAGGAAAAACTTCAGGGATGGTTTTTACTTGTATTATTTTTTTTTTTACTTTTTTGCAATTTTTTGTGGATATTGCAAGAAAAGAAAAAAATAGAAAATCAATGTTTTCATGATTTTTTTTTTTTATATAAGAGCAAGGCTAAAAGAGCATGCAGTTTAAAAGAGAATTGACGTTACTATAGAGATGAAAATTAAAGCACATAAGGCCAATAACCAGCACTGAATTACAGAAATTACACAATATTTGAAGCTCGAAATTTAAGTTTAAATGATATTTCCATATGACATTCCATGTGTAGCAGGAGTTCTAGAAATGGCAATCATATGTGACTACCGTGAAAAAATAAAATTGTCTTTTGAATTTCCACTTCTTTTGATTTTAAAACGTAAAAGTGATACCAAAAGAATCTATTTAATCAACAATCAAACTGTTTTAACATATAGTCATCTTGTAACAATATAATTATCCGTTGGGAAAATATGACTTTAACAATTGCCAAAATTGCAACAGTTCAAAGTTGCATCACAGCAACCAACCCAGCAAAAGCAACTGGCCTCCAAGTTCACGATATTTGAATCTGGTGACAAATTCTGATATTATTGAGAAGCAACACAAAAAACCCCAGGTTTACTCTCCATGGCAACCTCACACATTATCCCTTATTTGCTTAGATAATAGTTGTTTTGTGGCATGAGTAAGGCCTTTTCAATAATACTGGTCATGATTTTATGGTTGATGTGGTACATAAAAAAAAAAGAAAAACACATTAGCATCAATATAATAGTCTTCTTCCCCTGTGAGATTTGGGATTGCCAAAAATCCATTTTTAATGTGTGGCGTTTTTTTTTTTATGTTTCTGCACAGATTTCTTCCTACATTTCTGTTGGTTGCCACTTCATGTATTCACCATGAAATGTAAGAAAACATTAAAAACTGTTATCGATCAAAAGTTTGGTGTTGTAACCTCAGCTATCCTTTACTGAAAATAATGCATTAGTGATTGGGTATGGTTCCGAAAAAATATACCAACGCAGCATTTTTCCTTAGTTTTGTACAAAGACATATAAAAATGTGTTCAGTGAACCTTGAATGCACTCTTGGCAAATCAACGTTTTTATTGATTGAGTTTACAGAAACAAATCTCACTTTCTTTTTTGCAATGTTGTGTAAATCTCGTTTAAGTTCATTTCTGGAATCGAGATAGGCAATTTTCAAATGCCTGCATTTGTCTGTGAACTTTCATTTAGGAACTATTTCTGACTACTTTATCAAGCTTTCACTATGATTAAAAGACACCATAGCAGTGGGTTAAATTCTAAATTCTGGAACAAAGAGAACTATAAATGGTTCAAAAACAGTATTTTGTAGAGCTAAGAAGATGGATTGGCTAGAATCAGGCAAAATAACAACCTTTTTACACCGCAGGGTAAATCAAAGGGGTAATTTTGACTTATCTAAAGTCGTAGCAGACAATGTACTTGATGAACGACATAGCCGTTAATTCTAAACAAAGCCCTGAATTATAACAGTATTACTTGTGCTTGTAAAAATGTTTCTTTAAAACTTGATCTAAGAATAGTAAAGTAAGCTAATTTTTTTCAAATTGGGGGCTTGGAATATATCCAAATGCAATACTTGACTCTTTCAACTTTCTGCATCTGTATTCTACGGAAAGATCATATTTGTTTCCTAATTAAAAACCGATTCAAGAAAATATTTTTTCTTAGTTAGTTAGTATTTGAGATCTGTGTATTTGTTCAAACTAAACACTAATGCGTCAAAACTGCACCAGACTATTTGTTTAATCAAATATTATCTGATAATTAGTCTTTTTTTTAATCTCAATTCCATAGTTGAATGTACAGAATAGTAAGATATCTGTCAATTATATCTGCACTTCACAAGGAATGGGGTTTTTCAGTGATAAATACTAATATATTCAAGTGACTAATTTGTATATTTTGACATTGACTGTGACTGTCTATTTTTTTTTCAGATATAGGATATCACACTATCAGACATTAATATAAATAAATCAGAGTTATTTGTCAGCATGGGAAGGCACATATTGTTGCGAAATTTAGAGTTGTAAATGAAAATGAACTCATAAACTCAGATTTCATTTCAAGCAATACATTAAAAGCCGCTTCAAATAGTTTATGACAATGTAATTACAATACAGCCGTCGCAATAAATATAAAAGGCTAAACGTATTTTTAGGTAGGTTATCACAGGATATGATAAAAATGGAGTTTGCAGATAGAATATCTGGTTGATTTGCCTTTTTCAAAAATCTTTTTTTGCATTAATTGCGATCAATGCTCACAAGCTCAGATGCATTTTCCAGTAATATGGCGCATTCTCTTGTAAGATTTACTGTGGATGTCTTTGTTGTGATGTTTGTTTTGTATAAACACTGAACCCATTTAGTTTTCTCATCTAGTTTTAGTTGTAAATGCTTTGTTGACAGTCTAATCATTGAAGAGGTTTTGAGCATAATATATGACTGCACATAATATTCAATTTTTTGTATCACGTTGACACCATTTTAGTGACAGTTTTTCTTCTAGTCATAACCAATCCAACACATTTTCAAAATTACTTTTAGCAGCGATTCCTTAATTCATGCAGCTTACACAACGATGTATCTGCAGAAATGAATCTGTTTCCTTCTGAATACTTCTGAAAATATATGAAAACGCAATTCTACTTACCGTTTACTTGTGGGCAACATGTGTTAAAATGTTTCTTACTTATAAAAAGCACTCTAATGTTTTATATGTATCATATTTGATAAACAAAGTTTCTGAATTGTACCGGATCTGAGATCTTTTGCATCATTTTATGGTAAAAACTTTGTTCAAAACCCTGTTGTACAGAGTCAGAAATACCTGAAAACAGTGGGCAGATGACAACACAACAATCATTTTGTGTTATTGCACGGTAACAAATGATGAATATTCCCAAAATGATTTCTGTTTTTTCACATTTTCTTAAAAGGTTAAATAAAGATTTCAAACAAAATAAATATTCTCTCCCTATTTTCTTTTTGGATTTGGCCATAAAGGGTTAATTTCACATTTCCACATTGGTTGCTCTTGAGCTAATATCCAAAAAGTAGACCTGGTCTCAGTCTTTGTTGTTGGTTTTTATGGAATCCAAATTCTGTTGAACTTTTCAAGTTTCAGTCAGTGACCTTTCACTTATTAAACAAAATTCGTCAACACACAAATTGATGTGATATAAACTCTTTATTTGTTCATTCAAATCACATTTTCTATAGAATATAAAAAACATAAGGGGCTTTCTCAGAGCTTGATGTAATCCAACCAGGCTTGTGGAGCCTGCTATATTCTAATGGAGTATGAAATTTTAAAAATAACTGTTTGAGTTATGCAGTCGCATTGTATTTCTTTGATTGTAAAGTATTTAGTATTTTCCATAATCCTAGATAGTTACACTTCATTATTCACATTATTCCGAAATGAAAATCAATAAGATTAAAGGGTAATGTCTTTTTGCAGTGCATGCTGTGTTTGAAAGAGTTATTCTTCTCTGTGCACTAATTGTTAATTATTTGGTCGGCCACAACCCCTGTAATTACCTGCGTTGATCAAATTGTTTTTTTTTAAATGACCCGTGTGTTAGTAGCTCATATATTATTGACTGTATGTACATAGATGTGGTTCGTAATCTTTGGAAATAGTTATGTTCTCCAATTGTAACCAATTTAGTTTGATTCATTTCATGCCTGCATGAGGTCCATTAAAAGGTTTGCAATTTTTCCAGAAAGCACACGGTGAATTCAAAACCAACGGGAGTACAGTTTATTCACAGAATTTTAACATATTTGTGTCACAAACTGTTGACCTGTTCTCAGTCTGCGCTGTACTTGGGTCCAGCCTCACACCCGTTACAATTTGAGTACAGAGGACAGATATATTCATTCATTTATTTCGGGAATACGGACTACAGAGGCTGAAAAATGGATTGCTGATACCAACTCCTCAACTGATTCTCAGGTAAATGACCAACAGGCTTAACGTTTATAAAAAAAAAAAGAATCACACACAAACAGATGTTTAACTTTAAACAAAAAAATCAAATTGATTATGATGGAGGATTTGCAAAACTTGTGAAGAAGGAACTACAGAATTATTCTGGAAGTTACTATTAGTCATATCAACTTGTATGCAGCATTCTTTCAGTTAAAATATTGATAGCAGAAAGATCCTATACTCCTATAATGTCATAGTTTTATTTACACTATGTAAGTAAACAGATGTTATTAAGCAGACCTTTAAAAAAGAGGCAAAACAGTAAGTAAATAAACAAATAGTGTAATGAAAAACATTCAATAGAAACCAGTATGTGTGTATCAAGAGTGGTGAAAATATTTGTTTGTCAGGGTTCTCTTTTTCCCCCCACATATTTCAGTTTTCTTATCAACTATGTTAAAGCCAGTATGATTCTGTTTGGTCGTTAGATAATCTTTTATCTAGCGTATTGTTACTGTTGTGTTTTTCCTGACCGAATGGCTTTTGTGTCCTTTATATGCGAGTCAGATGGTTCTCTGTGTTAGATGTGTGGACATTTTAAATGAGTAATTTCAGATGCAGTCATTACCCTACTGTCAGAAATGTCAAAATGTTGCGACGTCTTATCATTGGCAAAGATTCTAGTTCAGTGAACTTGTTAGAATCCATAGTTTATACAAATTGTGAGTCTTGAGAGTTTTGATCTTCCTTAGTCTTCACTATATGGAAGATATATAAAGAACAGTTCCATATATGTAATTGTCACAAAATGTCCAACCAAAGAGAGGAAATTCTCCCCTCTAAATTTGAACATCAACAATTTGTAAACCCAATTTGTTTAAGTATAAAACATGAAATTGTCCAACAAAATGTGTGTATACCACTACAGTAAGCCATGTAACTAACTGCACTCTTTCAATTGACTTTTTTTACACATAAGAAATACAATCTACAGTGTAGCATTATTGCAAATCTGTTCTTTAATTATGGATGAATACGCAAATAAAGATAAGCAACAAAGCACACATATGTCTAGAATTTTTTTTCTTCTTTGCTGCAGATTTTCCAGCATTTCCACATGGATGGAAAAAGGAGATAAGTCTCGATTACAAAATAGTCACATATTTCTGTAAACTAATTCATCTTTGAAACTTTAATCATGTGGTGTTTAGGTTTCTGCATTTAGCAGACGCTTTTATCCAAATAAACTTATAATGTAGATATATTACAGTTAGTTAGCATCAATTTGACACACCTAGAAGAAAACTTCTAATCAATTCAAGTCAATTTTATTTATATAGCGCCAAATCACAACAACAGTTATCTCGTAGCGCTTTCGCTACGCAAGTCAGACCCTACTCTGAAGTTATTTACACAAATAACAATTCCCACCAAGAGCAAGCACTAGGCGACACAGGCAAGGAAAAACCTCCTTTTAACAGGCAAAAACCTCGAGCAGAACCATGGCTCAGGGTGGCCGGTCATCTGCCCCGGCCGGTTGTGGGTGAGAAAGAGAGATGGTGAGAGAGGGGGAGAAGGAAATAAGGAGCAGAGGGAGACAGCCTACACAGTCACAAATAGACTGGATGAAAAATGGCAAATAGTAATAGTAAATAGTAAAGTGATCGTAATGATAAAGATAGCAGTAGTAATAGCAATAAGACTATGAGCAGTGGCTGTAATTGTGACAGGGTAGGAACACGGGGACAGCAGGAGATTCCCAATCACAGATCAAGCTTCCACAGCTCTAAGAACACCTGCAGGAAGTGATAGGAGGAGACTCCCAACCACAGATCAAGCTTCCACAGCTCTAGGAACACCTGCAGGAAGTGATAGGAGGAGACTCCCAACCACAGATCCAGACCCCACAGCTCCAGAGACAGG